TCGTGTGTGTGTGTGAGAGAGAGAGAGATATATCATTCGTGTATAATTATGCGGGTGTGTGTGTGTGTATGAATGTAACAAAATGTTAGTAATAATAATAATATCCCTCCCTGGTGCATAATATCTTTAATCTGTACAACAATAATAATAATAGTAATAATAATAAATGTGAATTCTTACCTTCAGACGTTGTTGTTGTTGTTGAATATATATGGTTACACGTCCTGTATTAGTATCGCTTACATTAGACGAATACACACCGTCACCGTTCATTATTGTCTACGACTGCCCTGTATATCTACAGATCATCGCGAGCGATGCGATGCTGTATTGTATCTACCCACTCTGATAGCTGCTCCTTTAATTTGTTCAGATTTTGTTTTTCCACCCATATTGTTAAAGGATGATTCGTTTCCTTTTCTCTCTGTCTTGAATTCCTGTATGAATGACAACTATTCATCTTGTAAGCGTTATTGATATAGTTCGAATTGTTCAATGCTTCGTTGTTCAACTGCGACTTATGCAGTGTTTTCTCGTTGCCCTTCGTGGTGTTGTTCGGCACTGCAAAAATAAAATAAATAAATTACAAATACATAAATACATTTGTATTAATTATTCCCGTGTGATATCCCTGATAGCGTTGTGACTAATATACCACGTGATATTATTGCATTCGTTATGGGTGTACTTACCTCTCGTCTTGTGTGTTACGTATTTCTTGATCATCGTCTCTTGATACCGTATGTGTAGTATGATGAATGACGACAAATTCAACTTCTTCATTGAGATAGCGAGCGTGTTGATCTCGGTGATATTCAGTGTCCACTTCATTATACGTTTTGAAACCACAATTCCTGCACTTATGAGTTGTTTTTTTCGCACTGGTTGATGAATCTACTCTGCGGTATTGCAAAGGACGTAACGTTATAAATTCATCGAACGTGACAAACCACGGTTTATCTAACCAGTCATCTTCTGAGGATGAATCGTCTTGGGTAGTCGATGATATTTTATCCGATTGGTGCTGTGTCTTCTCCTTATAGTTTTCGTTCGACATGATCAACGTATATATGTAAGGTTTTGATTTGTTTTTTCGATCATCGAGTCCGCTGTAGTCTGTATTTTATTAAATACTTTCTTAGACACGTAAATATTCATCTAGTCCAAAAACTAATGATTACACGAAACTGGGGATTGGTATCTCGTGTGCTAGCAAGGTTCTCCACTCGACGATTACCATTGGATGGAGAACAACGAACTCAATACAATAGACTCTGAGAGATGGGTGTTTGGATTATCCAGGTGGGGATGTGTTTGTCTTCGTTACTCGGTTTACTACTGTGTTTGTCGTTCACCAAGTGTAGCGCTGTTTGTATTTAGTAAATACTACTCTCAACTCGCGATTGTTCTTTAGAAATGTAGCTAATGACGATTCGAGTTGAAGTGGGGAATGTTAACTCGTGCGTGAGGTGTGACAAGAGAAAACAATGTGTTTGTAATTAACCGCGTGTATGAAATTGGTCCTTAAAGCTTCAGCGGGAGTAATGTTACTGTTTACATTGTTGTATGGATTTGTAGGCGTGGGGGGTTTATAAGACGTGATTAGCTCGGTACTCTTCCTCCGAATTATTCTTACGGTGATATTCGTACAGTCATGAACAACCACAATATCTACCCCAGCGACATTTTTCGTATGTTTGACAGAGGGCTCATTTCCTCAAACGTTTATCTAAGTTCATTAGTGGATAAATATCTACTAACGGGATTAGATATAGCTCTCGACGAGGCAAACGCGAGAGTTATAGACGGTATCCACAGATTTGGTGTATCGATGTCTGCCGCACGACCAGTTGGACGCGCCAAATGGCATGAAACGGTAGATACACTACTAAAGTCTACCAACGACCCTCGTGCCCCTGTGACACCGCCCGTTGGACGCGCCAAATGGCGTGAAACGGTAGATATACTTCTAAGGTCTACGAGCCACCCTCGTGCCCCTGTGACACCCCCCGTTGGTCGAGCCAAATGGAGGGAGGGGGTATAAAAAGCCTCTTTGCTGCCTGTTCCAAGACTCCCTAGAAGTATATCAGCAGCTTTTAATCCCGACCCTGTGATGGGGTGTGTAGCACCTTCACCCCCGGAACGACGAAGCCGCAACCAAATGGATAGAGTTGTGGGACGAGTGGCAGCGGAGCGGACCCGATGGCAAGGTCCTAGCATAGGACACGGGAAACGATTATGCTAAAAAGTACGTATTATCTTCCAATATTTTAGTTATTCATCTAATAACATAATATTGCTGCTCGATTCATCTAACATAACGTCTCACACGCACACACACCCACAGCAAACGAAACTTCTCACATTGTGTATTGATAAAATATGTCTTACCTCATCTTTTTTCCTGTGTCCCATTCTCCATGTTTTGTGATTTTGATGAGCGCTCACTCCCGTAGTCCTCGTAATCGTTTTGTTTTTTCCCTGCAATCTGGTTAGGATACGTGTGTATAGGGCAGTGTTTCGGTTGATGGCTTTGAGGGAACCCATGCATGATAAGACCTTTGAACATGTTTTTCTTTTTTCCTTACAGAGACCCAGCGATGAAGACCCTGTTGCTTGGCGTTCCTGACGCGTTGAAAAGTTACAAAGCATACTTCGATGTCTCAAATTTTATTTTTTAAAAAAATAAATACACTTCCTAAAAGTTCCGTTCGTTGGTTGTTGTTGAATAGTTGTGTAAATGTATTCACTCGAGAATATTAGGAGCTTTGGTTGATATGTACAGTGTCTAATGGCGTTAGCGGAATAATGTCAGTGTGTATTGTCTCCGATACACACACACACACGCACACAAAAATTCTTGTACATGTACATGGTGGTTAGTCCGTGTAGTGCACTCTCTTACACGTGCATGAGTGAATCTTTGAAGATACTTTTTTCTTCACGACACACTTTCCGCTATGCGTCAGAAAACGATGGTACGTGTATTTCAGTTTGGTGTTGCAATACACACAAGTAAATAGTCCTTGGTAATCTTCACCGTTTGCGTCCACTGGTAGCAGACCAGAACACGCATCACACAGGTAGGCCATTTTAAACTAAAGTGTAAGCGCTCTAGAATGGCGTTGGTGCGCGCGTAACACTCCTCGGCGAGATATTCAAACTCATATGACTCTGCGCCTATAGCTACTTAACCGACACTATCATTCACATTTAATTGTCGTTTTCAAGTTCTACAGTTTGGATGTTCTGTTCATACTATAAGAGCACGTGTATATCTAATTAATTAACTGCGGTCTCATTAGAATACTTTTAGCTATGACTCGATATCGGACGTCTGTGTACTTTTCTCGATAGTTTCCCGGGGCAGGTGATTGACATAAGCGACGATGTGTTTATTGTACGTCCGGTCATCTGTGTACTTTTCTCGCTAGCTTCCCGGGACAGATGTTTACCCTACGCGGTGAGGTGTTTAATTAGTGGGCGACGGTCGCTCGCCGCGGCAGAGCTCGCTAATTGGGGTACCTCTTTTTATCGAAAAATTTAACATAGGAATCCCCATTCAAAATTACTGGATAGCAGCTAATACATAACTACTACTGTAAGTCCCCATGGTCCCTAGTATGGTAATCTACCTTCAGTAGTTAGCAATCTACAGCCTGTTTTTATATTGTATTGTCATTTCTAGTTCCAATATTTTAGATTTAATTGCTAGTTTTAAATGAATATCTGTGATACATTAGTACTTTTTACTGTTCTTCGTCAACAGGTTTTTAATTTCTAACTTTATTCATCTTTAATATAATTATAAACTGTTCTCGTCACGATATGGCTGAAATATTGCCGATGTGACGATAAATATTAACTCACTCACTCACTCACTTAAACTCAAGCAATATCAACACAGGTAGCAAATATTGTCAAACAGCATAAAAATCAGGTTGGTTCTGCCCTGTAAAGTTATTTGATGACAATTTGAACCTGGAGGTCAATAATGCCAGATTGGCCCATGAGCCACCGCCTTCTGGCAGAGGACTCTAGGCAGTTTCATGTAACAATAATGTATTTATGGGAAATAAAAAGCCAATACCCAATAAGATAAATGTGCAAAACTATAGTCTATGCACAGGGCATGGCGTGACCAGCCTATTGATAGAATCGGGCCGATTCTACCACCCGTCTAGGTGAAGTAAGGGCCGAAGTGGTGTGTTGGGCAAAGGAACGCTGTTCCTGGAACCAGTGCCTTCAACCACCAGACTCCCGTCCTCCACCGACACAGGGGCGCAACCCACGGCAAACGGGTTGGTGGACCAAATATACCCCCGGGTCCACAACGGGGGTTGAAGAGCGCTTAGCGTTACCCACCACCCACCACGAGGAGGTGGCTTTCACGGGTGCCTAGCTGTAAACGGAACTCAATGATCTCAAGTATAAAAATAAATGCAGTAACTACGTCTTTCAAAGAAATGATGTACAACAAACGTTCATTATAACCATAAGCCGATGTTTTAGACAACAGATGTCCTGTGATGATTCGCGTTAGAATTGGTCTTCAGCAACCCATGATGGTCGATAGAGTCGACTAACGGGATCTCAGGACCAGGCTCCCGTACAATGTTGATGCATGTTATCGTATCTCTACACCATCGGTGCCACTGAAGCCAATAACTCTATGGTCAGGTGCAGACTCGAATATTCACAGACCGCTCTCATATACATTGAATATTGCTGAGTGCAGCGTTAAGAGCAATGATTAAAACATGCCTTGAGCACCATACAAAACACACAATTTGTCGATTTCGAATAGAATAATGCATGTGCCAATATAATTAATTTGAACACATAAATGGGCCTGATTGGGTTTCGTTACAACACTGATAAGATTACCGGACACCGTTTGCTGGAATCAGGTTTATTCAGGTCCTCCCCAGACACTGCCCGCCTCTTGTTACATGAACATATGTCAACTCACCGGAGCTGTGGTTTCATACATCGGATATCCTCGCTCGAGAGGAAACGTGCTGCCGGTGCTCGGCGACTGGGGTGGAGGTTTACTGCAGCTGTCTCGTCTGGCCGACTCAGTAAGTATGTTTTGTATTTACTATGGTATCTAGCAATAGAAAACTAACGTATGGAAGCAGTTGTATCAGTGACGGCATCAGATGACGAGCTAGGGTCCTCTGTTACTTGTTGATTGAGTGTTGTTTAACGCCGCACTCGGCAATATCCCAGCTATATAACGGCAGTCGGTAAATGATCGAGTCTGGTCCAGATTATCCAGTGATCAACAGCATTAGCATCGTTCTACGCAATTGGGAACCGATGACATGTGTCAACAAAGTCAGCGAGCGTGACCACTCGATCCTGTCTGTTGCCTTGTACGACAAGCATGGGTTACTGAAGACCAATTCTAACCCGGATCTTCACGAGTTCTATAACTTGTAATTGGTCTTCAGCAACCTATATTGCCTTTGTGAAGATCCGTGCCATAATTGGTCTTTCAGCACCCCATAATTTTCCTTGTGAAAATCCGTGTCATAATTGGTCTTTCAGCAACCAATATTGTCCCTTGTGAAAATCCGTGTCATAATTGGTCTTTCAGCAACCAATATTGTCCCTTGTGAAAATCCGTGTCATAATTGGTCTTTCAGCAACCAATATTGTCCCTTGTGAAAATCCGTGTCATAATTGGTCTTTCAGCAACCAATATTGTCCCTTGTGAAAATCTGTGTCATAATTGGTCTTTCAGCAACCCATATTGTCCCTTGTAAAGATCCAAAGATTATGCTATGGGGCCAAGCTAGAATGGTTAATCCCAACACCACGGTTTCTGCATAGCATAGGTCATGCTAATCTGTTGATTCCGAAATCTAGATTCGAAACGATTTCTGCAAGTTCTATTATGGTCTTTTATCATTTGGGTATAATTCTGAGACAGTTACATTTATTAAAAACACGTTTAGAAAGGTGAATGTATATAGCCAGGTGCAACACTAAGTAAAAGATTTAATCAGATAATCACCGTTTGATGGTCAGGAATGAGATGGAAGGCAGGAGGTGAACTTGGGCAATCTGGAGACAGGATATGTTGCCGTGCACGGCTTCACAACAGACACATCAAAGCATGTACAGCTCTTTTCACATGCAACTTACTCGCATCCCACACATGCTTATACTGGAATATTGATGAAAGCAGCGTACATCATACCGACCCGTGCCATTATGCCAGGAATTGCAGTAAGGGTTACTTTCTCCTCCGATGACCAGGGGTAGTCTAGTGGTTAAAGCGTTTGCTCGTCACGCTAGGTACAATGTGGGAAACCCATTTCTGGTGTCCCTCGCTGGACTATTGCTAAAAGCATACCCTCTCCTCCTATGAGCTCGTTATAATTCTTCATAATAACTTACTGACATTCAACCAACTGTCACAAGCAAGAGAGCGTGTTAGCTCACTAAAACATACGCAAGTGGGCTGTGCAGCCTGTGGTTTTAGCGGGACGTGAACTGTCCCATGTTATTAATTTACACGTGACCTTTGTATGGAAACATGACCTGGTTTGTGAAACAAGCATGCTGTTATAAACATTTGCCCCAGAACGACAGAGTCGTTTACGAAGGCACAGATGGCCCAGTAGTCTGAGTGCACTGACTGGACAGGGTTACCTCCCTTAGTTGTTTAAGCCTGTAGAAGGAGCGAGTTCGATTCCCTGGATCTTATCTCAATCTAATTTGTAGTGTTTTAAACAATATCACCAAATTGATCTCCAGATGTAGATAGTGTGTGTGTGCGTGTGTGAGAGAGAGAGAGAGAGAGAGAGAGAGAGAGAGAGAGAGAGAGAGAGAGAGAGAGAGAGAGAGAGAGAGAGAGAGAGAGAGAGAGAGAGAGAGAGAGAGAGAGAGAGAGAGGTGTTTGTGTGAGGATAAATATGTGTTTGTGTGTGCATATATGTGCGTATGTGTGAGTGAATGAGCGTGTGCACGCGTCTTGCATGTGTATGTGCTACTCCACCAAGTGCATGAACAACACTTACCACATTTTAATGTCGTTAGTGTGACGCGACCGGGGCCCGAACCGTCATCGTCATTTACTCTCTGTCCCCAACTGATCCTGATGAATAGACCTCATTTAAGAGTAGACACATTAAAACCAAAACGTGTGTGTGTGTACGTTTTGGGGAATGCGCTACATGCTCTAGTTGAAAGTTAAGAAGGAACTGGGCGTCGATGACTAACTCTGTACATCAATACTGCTATGTTACTACTGAGTCATAAGCGTATGCACTGCCTGGTAGAGCCTGATGGAGCTATGAAACATGATTCTGACGGTGTCTAAAATCCCATTGTTTATGTTGTTTTCGAGCTGAACAAAAACACATGAGATCGATATCCTTTCATGAAGTGATGTCGAGACTGTTGCAATCGTACCTTGATTAGTTTCCTTTATACACAGGCACACGTTGTATGTACTTCCGGTGTTGACCGCCATTATAACAACCCGTCAAGTAGTGAGATGCGTTGGAACCGTTGTTTCAGAGTCTCTCTGGGGACAGATATGTTGTCGTTTGTCATTTAGCTGATTGTGACTTTGACAAGGGAGTTAATGCATTGCACTTGACAGCATTAACAATGCATGTAACGGGAATGTTGAGCGATGGGATAAGTGAGAAAAACATAGGCAGCTGGTCCAGGACTTTCAATATATTGTCAAATCAACACATATAACGTAGATATATTTGGACTATTTGTTGCTCAATGTCATTATAGTCTACTCTGTTGTTAGTGTACGTGGGGAAGTCTGGGGACATCACAATAGGTGAATGGGTCACGTGAACTTTTATCCAGCAATCAACGTCAAGGCTTCGGAAATTCTCGGCATGTATATGGAAAGTGATGTAAAACGGTCTGTTTCGGATATTTCATACACCATGTTGATACTAAAGATCTTGGCACTGACACCAACACGACCGAGGAACATACATGTATCTGAGGGATATAGTTTTCGATTACAGTCGACATTCCGGAATTGAGGTGAGACTCGAATGAAGCGGAATCGTTTTGCAAAGTTGACTTCTGATTGGCTCAACAACCCACCCATCATTCTGTCTTATTGGTCGAATCGTTTTGGAGCGCTGACATTTGATTGGCTTAGGAATCCACTCATCATGCTTTCTGACTCTTCGAATCAGTTTGGAAAGTCGGCGTCTGATTGGCTCAAGAACCCACACATCATTCTTTTAGATTGGTGTGTTGAGATCCGCTCAGGCCTAAGGTTCACCGAGTGCGTGCGTGCGTGCGTGCGTGCGTGCGTGCGTGCGTCAGGTCTTGCACCCTTGGATCGGTAATTCAACACACACGTACAAGTCCCCTTAATATGAAAATGGTAGTTAATAACCAAAAGTATCTGTCAAGGTTAAAGTTGGGTAGGAATGTACGGCTGTGTGTAGTTAAGAATGCCTAACTTGTATGTATTTGAAAATGCGTAAATGATGTTCCCTTAGTCTGACTTTCTCCGACTTGATGACCTTGGCAGTGAGATAAATTAAAGCGAATCACTTAATATTGATGATGTGGTGGTACAACAAGTTTAATTTATCTTTACAGAATATTCGTTAACAAGGAGCAATAACCGTCTGTCTTTAGGCTAGTCCGGTGAGTATATATTTCTTGGATGTTTGATCGAGAGAAACACTTTTTTCTTTCTTTGATTCAAAGCACATATTTACTCAGAAATAAACAGCCATTGTTTAGCAGGTGTACATGCTTTTAATCCGAAACCTAAGCATATGTGCAGGTATTTTGTGGATGACTTATATTGTGGGGCTCCTCGTCACTCAAAATTAATGAAAAAGGCAATTAACGGAATCGGGTGGTGAGGTTCGCTGACTTGGTTGCCACATGTCATCGTATCCCTGTTGCATGGAAATATGTCGATCACTGGATAGTCTGGTCCAGACCGCAGGCATATAGTTGCAATATTGCTGAGTGCGGCGTTACTTAATAAAGAAATAAACAAACAAACGAACAATCAATAAGAATTAATGTCAGTGTATAGCCTTCTTTCTACATTGTTTCTGAGGGTAACTGTTGGTTTCTTCTGTTTTCAGACGGTTTGCCATATATGGACCTGATCGATACAACAACAATCATCATGGCAACAGTCGATGAAAACATCACCTTACACACCAATGTGACAACGCCTATGTATCCAGCAGAATATTACAGGTTAAGAGAAATAGTTGACTTTCTTAACACATACTACATTTGGATTATATTTGCGTTTGGATTTCCCGGAAATACGTTAAGTTTGCTTGTCATCAATAGAATGTCGAAGACAGGTTTGACAACGTCGTTATTTTACGCAGCCGTGCTGTCTTCTGTCGACAACATCACCATCATCTTAAAGATCATAGAAAACCAGACCAGACAGATGAAAATGGCGATCGATGAAACCGGATGTCAGTTTTTGTTTTTCTTTGGTCTGACATGCGCAGCATCAGCCAACTGGATTCTGATGGTAATATCAGCAGAACGTTTTACGGCGGTTGTGTTCCCGTTGAAGGTGGTGTTGGTGTGGTCGTTGAAGCGGGCAGTTGTCATCATAGTCGGCGTCGTCGCGTTCCTCTGCTTCATCCACAGCCACATCTTCATCACCGTCACTCATTACAAATATTACACGTGTACAGTCAAAGAACAGTTCCACAAATACCTCACGATCTGGTTCTTCATTAGTGCCTCCGTTTTCGCCTTGATTCCTGCTGGGGTCTTATTTGTATTGAACACAGTCACTGTTCTGATCATGCGCAAATCCACAACAAAACGTAAAGTAATGACGTCGGCATATGGCCAAGTTCATCGCACCGTTCGACGTCAGGAACGACATATGACCGTCATGCTCGTCGCTCTGGCCATCGGCTTCCTAGTCCTCAACATACCACGCTGCGTGTACGTCATCACCTTCAACTACGTCTGTGTGGGAGACGATGACGTTATGTGTAATACCAGAAAATTGTTTTTCGACGTTTTGACGACACAAATCGCGGACTCGAACCATGCCGTCAATTTCTACCTCTACTTAATGGCGGGGAGGAAGTTTCGAGATCATTGCATGAAGGTATTACGATGCCGAAGACCAACATTCTTGCGAATTCCCTCCCAGTCGTCCGAACTCCCCTTCACGGAGTCAAGCTAATGTTGTCATGGGGTATCTTTCACAAATTCGTTGTTATATTTATATCATTGCAACTTGACTACGATTCCCTACCCCTATTCTAAGTTAATTCTCTGAGCCTTGCGAATCTACAAGTTGCTCAATGTCATGTATCAACGTCAAACGTCAATAAAAGCATCTATGAAATAATTATTATATTTGTGTTGTATTTAAATAGGTACAAACACTGAATCTGTGTTTCACCACCTATTGACGGCCTCCATTGTGGTTTAGATGCCTGGAGATTAGGAGGTTGGTGGTTCGGTCCCCGGTTGTGTCACACCAAATGACGTTATAAGATGGTACTTGTTTTTTCCGTGCCTGGTGCTCCACTGAAAGAGTGGCTCCGAGTATCCATGTTGAACAACGGCATGGTATCTCACTCGACCAGTACTATAGAACATCCTTCCAGACAAGTGCAAACCAGTACAATGGTAATACTTGCTACTAGTACTAGTGTCAGACAGTACGACAGAGAGACACTGTACTTCACCATATCTTGAAAGCCATCATATTAAACAATAATTCACCCTCTAATCCTTCATCTTATTGTAGGAGCTATGGAGTAGCTTAGTGGTTAAAGCATTCAGTCCACGCCGAAGGCCTACTTTCGATTCTCCGCATGGGTACCGTGTATGAAACCCATTTCTGTTGTCCCCCCGCCGTAATATTACTGGAATATTGCTAAAAGCGGCGTAAAATCCGATTAAATTACTCTTGTTTTGGTATCATATGACGAGAAGCAGTATTGCCTCCATCGAGAACAGTGTTCATATAAAAGGTGTCAAAATTCCATGTGTAGTTGTATCTAACCGGCAGGGAAGACACGGTTCTGTGGACAACTGTTGCTCAGCATTGTTTTACACTGACTGACAATATTCCAGCAACATCACGGCGGGGGACACCAGAAATGGGCTTCACACACTGTACCCATGTGGGGATCATTGTTTTACAAGTGAAACAAGAGGTCACATGGAAACAGGGATATCAATAGGCCAACATCCCTATAATGCTTTTCGTAAGAGGCTCAGTTTCGTGTCCAGGGCCACCTTGACTGATTGTATGACATCGTCACGAGTTGCCCTGATTTGCCTTGCCCAGAATAGATCTATAGCGGATACAGCTTGACTATTGCTGACTACGTTAAAAAGCAATGGTTGGATGGTTTAGTGCTTAACGCCGCACTCAGCAATATTCCAGCTATATGGAGAGGGTTGTAAATAATCGAGTCTGGACCCGACAATCCAGTGATTGACATCATGAGCATCGATCAAGGCAACTGGGTTCAATGACATGTGTCCACCATGTGTCCAATCAATCCTGACCACCCTAAGTTAGTCGCCTCTTACGCCACGTTTAGTCAGGGCAGTATGTATGCATGAGGACCTATTCTTGAAAAGCAAATGCCTCAATGATCGGAAGAAGGGAAAAGATGGTTCGGAAATGTGGCCAAAAATACGATCGAAACCGGAAATCTAATTCCAGCAGGATGTAGATTATTATTTAATTATGAAAACGTCTTGCACTGAATTTTGTTAAAAGTCATAAATGTGGACAAGAGAACGACTCGTCTTGTCAGTGAATATGTACATAGGTGCTGGTTGTATCTTGTGTGGGAGAGAACTCGTGTGTGAGAAATCGTGACGGCCAGGGATTGCGTTGGTGATCGAAGCGTCTGTAAAATGTGAACAAATAATCAATGGCAACAACCATAAAATCTTAACTCTTTTTGTGAACTAGTCTTACGACAAGATATATACTGGACAAAAATAGTTAGGGATATATGTAAATTTTGAAATTATGAATAATCATCTATTTATTAATTGATACACTGATAAAATATCAATCATACAAATACTAATATCCCAAACTTATTTGTGCAGAAAATATGATAGAGGTAGGATGACGGGGAACTTGAAATCTGACGAGAAACCAACTTTCTCGGACGTTTGACCCACTTCAGATGGTCCGTGATTCGCGTTTAAGCACAAAGTTGGACATTATATGGCCGCTAAAACCACATCGTGTTTGTTGTGTAATGCCTCAATGGGGGTAGTGAGTTTAGTTTTACGCGGCACTCAGCAATATTCCAGCTATATGGCGGCGGTCTGTAAATAATCGAGTCTGGACCAGACAACCAGAGATCAACAGCATGAGCATCGAGATGCGCAATTGGGACACGATGGCATGTGTCAACCAAGTCAGCGAGCCTGACCATCCGATCCCTTTAGTCGCCTCTTACGACAAGCATGGGTTACTGAAGGTTCATTCTAACCCGGATCTTCACGGGTGTCCAATTTTTGTAGTTAATATGCGAAAGTGTGACATATCTGTTACACTAAGTTCGGCCTAACTACACTCTTACGACAAGCATGGGTTACTGAAGATCAATATTCTAACCCGGACCTTCACGGGTCAATGCCTCAATGGACCAGATAGGAGCTCTTGGAGGGTGGTTAGTAAATAATCACATCTGCACCAGACAATCCTTTGACTGACATCATGATCAACGCAGTAAGGATGTGGTGACGTCAACGGAGAAAGCTAGCCTTACCATGATCCAATAAGTCGCCTTCTACAGGAGGTAGCCTGTGTGAGAACAAGGAGCAACATAAGAGTAAGGGATGAGGAAAGAGCAAGATAAGGTGTGAGATAAGGGTAGGGGGTGAGATTAGATGTGAGATAAGGGTAGGGGGTGAGATTAGGTGTGAGATAAGGGTAGGGGTTGAGATTAGGTGTGAGATAAGGGTAGGGGGTAAGATGAAGGAAGGGTGAGATCAGGGTAGGGTCAGATCAGGACAGGTGTGAAATTAGGTTAGGTTTGAGATAAGGGTAGATGTGAGATAAAGGTAGGGGTAAGATAAGGTGAGTGAGTGTGTTTAGTTTTACGCCACACTCAGCAATATTCCAGCTATATGGCGGCGGTCTGTAAATAATCGAGTCTGGACCAGAAAATCCAGTGATAAACAGCATGAGCATCGATCTGCACAATCGGGAACCGATGACATGTGTCAGCCAAGCAAGCGAGCCTGACCATCCGATCCCGTTAGTCACCTGTTAAGACAAGCATGGGTTACTGAAGGTTCATTCTAACCCGGATCTTCACGGGTGTCCAATTTATGTAGTTAATATGCGAAAGTGGGACATATCTGTTACACTAAGTTCGGCCTAACTGAGGTAGGGAGATACGAAATGTACAAAAAAAATGACTTTACTCAGGAGAGATTAGTGCATAAAAGCAATAAGTCCAAAGCGACTTACATTGAACAGAGAATGGCTTTACGCAAATTAGTGTGCGAGGATATTGTATTACAAAGGGCACTTTTTAAACTTCCATTTTGATGTTAGACTTAGCTGACGTAAAAAATAATAACTTTAATACAGAAACTGCTAAGGATGTAGCTACCATGGAGTCTCGCTATCACTATATTCCACACGGTGTTGTGTGCAATCACAAGCATGACTCTTGATATGGATACGCTGATTGCTAATGTCTATTAGCATTTCATGCAGGAGAGGAAAAGGGGAAACCGCTCGTTAGTGCAGCCCTGGGCCTGCCATGTCGGAAAATGTATTTAGTAACAAACAAAAACAGGGGTCGTCTCAAAGGCAAAACCAGGACGCAAACACAAATTGGATAGCTTTTATAAGGGGATCATAAGGAGAGCAGTATATAAGTTGTATGACAGGAAGATATCCCACCAACCTTCGTACCATCCAAGGAAGCGATCAATGATACCATTAATGTATCTAGAACAACTTGTATCACTGCAATCCGTGAAATGGGGTTCAGGTATAAAGCAAGGGTGGAGTGGAGTGTTTCGTGAAAAGTATTCAGTCCTCATCCTCATCATCTCAGAAGTATCGCCAAATACCAGGAGTTGGGTTTTCAGATTGTATACCTCGATGAGACCTGGGTGAACAAGAATCACTCCACAGATTACACGTGGCTACCGTCAGATGGCACATGCAACACGGTTCCAACCATTCCATCCGGTAAAGGTGACCAAGAGCGTACGTTGGGGATAGACGGAAGACAAAAGTCAGCGATATGAGTTGAGGACACGTGACAGAACGCACACCGGGACCGAGTGACCAATGTTCTCGATGCGGACATCCGCTCTGTCACTTACACACATTCAGAAGTCGGACGGCGATTCTTCATGGTAGACGTAGTCGTTAGTAAGGCGACGGCCTTGACCGACGCCACGATTAGCCTTACAATCCGTCAGCTTCTGTCGATGATCTGGGCCCGTCTCGTCTCCCCGACTGATGTCAGTCAGGTTTTATACATTGTGACATTACGCCACGTTGTGCAAGGGCACTGACTTATGCACATGTACACACGTAAGATCCGCCGACGTAGGGAGGTGTTAATTGACATTTACTGTTAGCATGGAGAATTAAGGTTCCTGTCCGGAGGTGGTTTATGATAAGAGGGGATACACCGAATGTTTGCTGAATACATTAAACAGACAAAGTAGATACAGCTTCGGTGCACTTTGGAGATATATTGAAACAATTAGGTCGTTTGAATATATGAAGTTCTAAATAAATTTATTGAAGTGGTTTAATCTATGACAAAGGTAACCGCCTAATCGTTCTTCACGCTGGTCTGATTGACGGATGCAACTCCTCTTTTAGGCAAAAATCTTCATCTGGTGATTATCACCAGGAGAAGTGCCTGTTCCTTGAGTGGATGGAACATCAGCTCCTAAATCGTCAGGGCAATCCTAGCGTCATCTTTATGGATAACACCAGTTATCATAACCTCGGTGTACCGGAAACAGTAACCCCACCATGTGTTACCGTAAGGCTCAAATGCAAGAATTTCTGATCTCGTGCAAGGTGTCCTTTAGACAGGCAGACACCAAAGTACAGCTGATGGAGAAAATCAGACAGCACGGGAAACCCTTAGTCTACAGATCACAGCAGCATGGCCACGTTGTCTTACGAACTCCAGTGAGACTTTGTGAGCTGAATCCAATTGAGCAGATCTGGGCTAACTGTAAGGTCTTTGTAGCCAGTCACAAAACGTCCTTTTGGATGTCTGATGTCAAAGACCTTGTCCATGCATGTTGTGCCAGAATGACACCAGTAGTATGACAAAAGGCAGCGGACCATGTCCTGGGCATCGAGGCAACCTATCGA